GAGGGGAGCTTCAATTGGCGTCCCCCTTCGGGGGCCCCAGCAATCGCCTCTTGGGACGCTCTTGGGGCGCTCTCAGGGCGCTCTTGGGCACTCCTGGGGCCGTCTTGGAGCTCTCTGGGGCCTCTCTTGAGACCCTCTTGGGCCAGCTTGGAGCCATCTTGAGGCCTCGGAAGGCTATCGAAAGCGAACGGGCGACGATACAACAATCCGTGATTTTTCTCCGGTGTTTGAAGGATGGTGGCTTCTTGGGTGCTTCCTTGGAGGTCTCAGAGGCCTCTTGGAGCCGTCTTGGAACGTTCTTGGGGCCTCTTGGAGCATGTTGTGAGCCATCTTGAGGCATCTTGCGCTATCTTGAACCATCTTGGAGGTCATCTTGGGCTCTCTGAGGCCCTCTTGGAGCCGTCTCGGACAATTTTGAACGCTCCGACCGCTCGCGGAACCCCCTTTCCAGGTCCAGTGATGGGGTAGGGGGAGGGGTTAAGCTACCCACCCGCCCGCAAGCCGTCTAGCTCACTCCCACCTGCCCTCCCAACACATAAGTAACACCCGAGCCTGAGCATGTTTAGCAGTCGTCTGTGGATGGACAGCTGCTGTGAGCCAAAGCCGACCCCAGGTGCGCGACGCTTGGGCGAGGTGCGCCACGCGTGCCAGGGGCGCCACGCGCGCCAGGCACCCCTGGGGCTCGAGGGTGCCAGGAACGCCTGGTGCGCCAGATGCGCCACGTGCTCCGAGTGCGCCAGGTGTGCCGCACGCTCCAGCCGCGCCAGGTGCGCCACGTTCGGGGCACGTGCAGAGTGCGTCAGGTGCGCCTTCGCACGTGACAGCACACATCGGGAAACATGTCGGCCCCCGTCATCCTTGTCGAAAACCAATGCCCCATTGTGTCTGGTGTGCCTGCGCACAGCAGGCCACGCGCCACCACCTCTGCCGCCCCTGACACTTGACAGTGATCGCGGGATGGGCGCGCATGATCCAGCTTTAGCCGCGAGGTGCATGTTGTATTGTTTCGTATTAGGGATGGTAGCCCTGCGCACAGCAGGGAATACGGTGACACCCCCACCGTCCTTGTCAAAAACAATACAAAGTGCTCGCGGGCCTCACGAACATGACCCAAGACTTTGCCCCAAAGTGTACTTTGCATTGTTTTTTGACAGGGATGGTGGGGGGGCGCATCGGGTTGGCCGCGCATGCTCCAAATGTGGAGGCAGAGTGCGGTTTTTGTATTGTTTTTGGACAGGGATGGTAGGAGGGGTGGCCCGCATGGGGTTGGCATGGTTCCGAATTGGCCGCCGACCAGGTGGGGGAGGGATTGTACATTAATAAGGAGCAGTGCTAAACCCCTCCCCGAAGGGGAAGAAGGGGGTTGGAAGAGGAAGCGCCCTGGACCACCTACGCCCAGAGGGCTGGTGGCACTCCCAATCGCCATTTTTTCGCAACGCGAGGGGGTTTGAGCCTGGCTTTGCAGCCGGAGCTGGGTCTGGAGCGAAGCTGGGTCTGAAGCTGGGATTGAAGTTGAAGCAGGCTGGAGATCAGCTGGAGCTGGAGCTGGAGCTGCGCGCGGAGTTGGAGCTCGAGCTGGGAAGTCGTTCGGCTGGACGTGGAGCTGAATTTGGACGTGGTGCTGCGGCTCGAGCTGGAGCTGGAGCTCGGGCTGGAGGGAGGTTGGAGTTGAGGCTGGACCTGTGGCCAGAGCTGGAACTGGTCTGGACTCAGGGCTAGAGTTGGGGCTGGACCCAGGAAAGGTGTTCGGCTGAACGTGGAGCTGGGGCTGGAACCCGAGCTGGGAAACGGGCTCGGCTGGGCGTGGAGCTAGGGCTGGAGCTGGAGCTGGATTTGAGCCTGAAGTTGGAGCTGGAAATGGAGCCTGGAAAGGGCCAGAGTTTTTGCTGGAGTTGCGGCGAACGAAGCTGGAGCTGGGCTGGGGCTTGACCTGGACCTGAAACTGGGGATCGAGCTCCAGCCGGTGCTGGAGCTGGGACTGGAAGGACGCTGGAGCTGGGGCTGGAGCTGGCGCTGGGTCTGCAGCTGGAGCTCGAAATGGGGTTGGAGCCAGAGCTGTATATGGATGCCGGACTGGAGCTGCAGCGAAGCTGGGGCTGGGCTGCGCGCGAAGCGGGAGCTGGAGCTAGGAAGTAGTTTGGCTGGACATGGAGGTGGGTTTGGACGTGGAATTGCGGCTCGAGTTGGAGCTGGAGCTATGGCTGGAGTTCGAGGCTGGAGCTTGGGCTGGAAGGAAGTAGGAGCTGGGGCTGGACCTGGGGTCAGAGCTGGAACGAGTCTGGAGTTAGGGCTGGAGCTCGACCTCGGCAAAGGGGCTCGGCTGGGCGTAGGGGCTGGGGCTGGAGCTCAAGCTGGGAAAAGGAGCTCGGCTGGGCGTGAAGCTTGGGGGGCTGCTGGATTTGAGTCTGAAGTTGGAGCTGGAACTGGAGCCAGTAAGGAGCCGAGATGGAGGTGGAGTTGAGGCTGGAGCGAGGGCTGGGGCTAGACATGGCCCTGAGGATTGGGCTGGAGCTGGTGCTGGAGCTGGAGCTGGGGCAGGAAGGAAGCTGGAGCAGGAGCTGGGGCTGGAGCTTGCGCTGGGGCTGGTGTTGGAGCGGGAAACGGAGTTGGGGCTGGAGATGGGGGTGGATGCCGGACTGGAGCTGAAGCGAAGCTGGGGTTGGAGGTGGGAAGGGAGCTGAGGCTGGAGTTGGAGCCAGGCTGGAGCCGAGGCTCGGGCTGGAGCTGGAGCTGGGCTGGACCTGCTGAATCGGGGCTGGAAGTGGGGCATGAGAGCACGAAGAGCACCACGCGTTGGAGGGTTGACGCCGGGCGCTCAACACCAGGCCCACGAGCAACATGCAGAGCACCAAACGCTGGACGGGCACCAAGAGTCCGGCCTAACTCACTGGCCCAGCCCCAGCCATGAAGCAGACAGTACGAAGCCTTCAGGACAAGCATAGTTGGGGATTGGGGAAGAAATTGTTGCTCGCCCTTGCGCGACCCCCCAGCCCGCGCCCCCTCGTGTCGTCTCCCTTCCCCTCTCTCCCTGCTCCCGTTCTTCCCCCCTCATCTCCTTCCTCCTGCCCCTAAGCATGTTATCCCTCCCCTCCTCTCCCTGTTCATCCCGTTGTTGTTTCCACTATTTTGCCTCCAGCTCCCGTTATTCCTCCTCCTCCCCCTCCTCCATCTCGTCCCCTGTTTTCCCGCCATCGGTCTAATAATACCCGTGTTGCTATTGCTGCTCCTACTCTCCACGCCCTTCAACGCCGTCGTCATCATTTGCATTATCACCATATTCGTCATCATCTGCCTCCCCCTTCCTTTTCCACATCTTCCCCACCCTCCTCTTCCTCTTCTTCCTCATCCTCATCATGTTCATCCCCTCCCCCTCCTCGTCATCATTATCCCTTGTGATTTTGTTCCCCTCCCGTGAATTGATCTGCCCGAGGTGAAAGTGTCCCAAGTCGGCCTGTCGCTGGTATCGCCGCGGCGCGGGCTGGAATTGATGTACGCGGAGGCCACGGCCCTAGGAGCAGGCCGAGGAGGAGGAGGAGGAGGAGGACCAACGTAAACCCAAGACTCGTCAACGACTTTGTCATAAACCCGCCCTCCAAGCTCCCTCGATATAGGCCCCTACAAGGATTCAGCTTCATTGGAGGAAGTGCCCCGTTGGAAAGCAACGGTTTGAAAATCTTGAATTGTGCCAGAACGCCATTCTTGGGATTTCAGCGCCGCCAATCACCGTGACTGTTGCGCCTTGGACGTCCAGAATCGTGCCAGAACACCGTTTCTGAGACTGTAGCATCACAGATCAACGTAACTGTTGCGTTCTGACAGTCCGACATCGTGCCGAAACACGATTTCTGTGACGTTAACCATGGAAATCTTTGAAACTGCTGTAAACTATTAAATGGACTGTGCGCGTCCCTAAGGCGAAAGCTGCATGTTGAAAAGGATCCGCCCTCCATCCGTGAAATGCTTGCCAAAGTTTAAGACGAACGTGCGCGGCGCGAAGGCGAGAGGCGTGAAGTTGTGGCAAATTTCAAGTTTCAGGATCACAAGTGGTGCGGAAGTCCCAGGCGAAACGCCACGCCCGCCCTTCCGACTGGCCTCGGGGTGTGACGGGGAGGAGGAAAGAGGAATGGAGGAGCAGAAGGAGTACCAAGAGCGCTCTCAGGAGTGAACGGTGTGGACCGCCAATGACTACGCCAGATGTAAGAGGTGGAGTCACATGTCATACAGCCGTGGAGTTCGACTCAGGCTGTTGCGGTATTGTCCTCTGGAAAAGCGGAATATTATAGAATGGTGGAATTCGGACCAGTAGCGTTAGGAGCACGAGCAGTTATCAAAGATGGTGGTGGTGATTGCGGTATCGTGTTGAAGAGCGATGCCAGCGCGGCTATTGCCATCGCAGGCCAGCGGGGGCCTTCGGAAAAGTCAGACGCATTGAGGTGTGTCAGCTCTGGCTGCAAGAGAAGGTGAGACGAGGAGGCATCCAAGTAACCAAAGTAGGAGCACATGAGAATATTGCAGAGGCTCTGACCACATTTGTGAGCACAGGCGACATGTCAATGCACATGCCACGTACAATCCAACACATCGTTAGGGGAAGACACGAGCTGACGCCTGCGACAGAGCGTTAACTTAGCCAGTCTTGAAGTTACTGTTACGTGTCATTTGGCCGGTAGACTTGAACTCAGGATCAGTTGACATCCAGGTGCTCTTCTACATTCAACACCAACAGTTTTAATCATTCTGCATAGCCTGGTGCATTGCGGCATTTACGAGCATTGCGTTGCCATATTGGAGGCCCCTGCACGTGTACGCCCAAATCATAGTCGCCGATAGCCATCGCCAGTTATGCCTTCAATTACTGTACACAGTTAGAGTCGCCACTGTGCGTCTTATAGCTTCTGCTCTCACATGCTTAGTATCAACTCAGTCAGCCCCTATCCGGCTCGCTTTATCTATACTGTTCACCCGTCGCCTCAATCGGCCAAAATTAGCCGAGTGGGGATGCTAGGACATGATCATGCGACCGGGTGAGCAGCGCAGCAGGGAGCGTAGCGTACACGACTTGGTTAGGACCGCCCGGCGTGCGTCGATCGACGCCGTTCGGCTCAAGTGTTTTTGCCCTTGTAGCAAAAGGTTCCTACTTGATTTTCAGGTGGAGGAGGAGGGAGAGGAGGAGGAGGAGGAGGAGGAGCCGCACCCACTTGCGCGGCGGGCCGTCTGTCTCGGCGCGCCGCCCGAGCGCCCGAGCGGCGCGGCGGCCCCCCCGCCTCGCCGCCGCGGGCGCGGCACGCCCTCGCGACACGGCGCCGACCGCCGCCGCCGCGCGGGCGGGCACGGGCCTACGGCCTCAGCCGCCAGCCCACCTCGGCGCAGGCGCGGCACGGCGCAGGCCGCCTCCGCGCCCCGCCAGGGGCCTCACGCCGCCCAGCGCCCTCCCGCTGCCGCCCAGCAGGCCGAACGGCCGCAGCAGTGCCCAGTCTGGGCGGCGGGCCGCCCACGAACTTCATGTCGATGACGGCACCTCGTCCGCTGGGGCCTCCGTTAGGCGCGCCTCCAGCTGGACGGGCTCGCCAATGAAGTGGCCCTTGATCGGGTGCTTCCCCGCCTTCATCCTGTTGAGCCTCGTGCCCGCAGTGGCGTTGGCGATCTTGCCCAAGCACTTCGTCGCCAGAAAGACCGCCGCGCCCCCGCTCGCCCTTGCACCACACGCGCTGCAGAACACCACGTCGCCCATGGTCATCAGGCGGTGCGAGGCGTCGGCCGCCAGTACAGCAGCAGGCGTCCCGCGGCACAGCCCCGCCTCCAACTGGGCGCGGTCCCAGCAGCGGACCCCGCAGCGGTCGCATGCGAAGGGCAGCGCGCTGACGCCGCCGACCCACTGCGCACGGTGCCGCAGCGGCAGGCCCACCACGCTGCCCTCGTCGTCGGGCATGAAGAGCTGAGGCCCTCGCTCACGCTGGAGCCGTGCCGCCACGCGGCGGCCGATGCCGTCCTGGCTGGCAGTCCTGCCATCGGCCTGGCTGCTGCTCGCCTCCAGCGCTGCTTGCCGAGCTTCGGCCTCGCGAGGCCGCTTGTCACCTCCACGAGCCAGCGTGCCCTTCGCCGTGTAGAGCTGCCGTCGTCGCGGTGCCGCCTGCCTGCGCGGCTGCACCAGCGGCGCGTCGTCGCTGTCCTCGTCATCGTGGCAGGCCTGGCTGCTGCAGCCCTGGCCGCTCCGCGGGGTGACCCGCGCTGCCCAGCCGCCCGCCAGGCCTTCGGGGCCACCGCCGCTGGCCTGGCTCGCCGTCCCCTGCTGGGCCCCGCGGGGCGCGGCGGGGTCGGCCTCGCCCCTGCTGCCAGCGCTGCCACGCTGGGCCAGGTCCTTGCCGTCGGTCACGCCGTCGGAGCCCCCCACCAGGCCTGCGCTCCCAGCTGCCGCCGCGAGCGCCGCCGCCGACAGCACCGTGTCCCCGCGCGGAGGCGGCTCGCCTCCGCTGCTGTCGCCGTCCTGGTCGTCGTGCTCCATGCTCAGGCTCGTGTCGACTCTCCTGCCGAGCTCGGGCGCTGGCTGCCCGCGAGGCTGGGTGCGGCGGCGCTTGGCGGCACGCACCATGCCGTGCTGCTCCTCATGCCTCGGGGCCCTCGTCAGCACCTGCTTGCCCGTGGTGTCCCTCTGGCTCCCGTTGGCAAGCACGCACACCTGGGCCACCCAGCCAGCCATGCGGCCCACCGCCCCTTGCTGGGAGGCGAAGCGCTCCTCCTCGGCCTGCGAGCTGCAGGGGTGGCAGGCCGCTCCCAGCTTGGCATCGGTGTCGGCGGCGTGGTTGCCAAGGGCGAGCCGCCGCACCACCGAGCCGTACGCGAGCTGGGTGATGGCCTGGTGGGCCTTGACCTTGCGGAACTGGAGCTGATCCTGCCCGATGTCCATGATCAGACGCCAGATCCTCCTCCACTGCTCGGCGTAGGCCTTGCCAGGCGCGCAGCACACGGCAGGCCCCGCAGCGACGCCGTCGAGCAGGTCCTGGTAGTCGCTGTAGATGGTGAACGGGGGCACGGCGTGCTGCAGCATGACCTCCACTGCGAAGAGCTCGCCCTCTCCCACCTCCTGTAGCCAGCCAGGAGATGGCCCGTGGCAGGCTCCCGTGACTCGCCCGAGGTGGTCCACCGATGCGCAGCCGAAGCCCACCCGCACGCCATCAGGACCTGCGAGGCTACGCCCTGATCCGTCCACGAAGCCGTCGTCCATGAAGAAACCTCCTGGGACCTCCACGCTCCATACCGTGTGCCACGCTCTCGATGGCTTCGGCTCCGCGTTCCAGTTGGGCAGCAGGCACCTGCCCCAGAACGCCTCCTGCATCGCGGTGAGCGTGCCCTCGGGGAAGCGGACCTGGCCGATCTCACTCTCCCTGCGCTCCCGCGTCCACGCCACGCATGCACCGTGGCGGTGCGGGAGCGTGCCAGGGGCCTCTCCGCAGCGCTGGCACAGCGGGGAGTCAGCAAGACCCGCGGCGTGCAGCTGCTGCTGGGGCCACTGTGCTCCGATGACGGTGGAGCGCAGGCCGCGCGCCTCCTGCTGCAGGCCATGCTTCTCGAGGTTGCGGATGACCCTGCGCACTGGCTCCAGGTGAATGCCATCCTTGAGGTGCTCCAGCCCTTCATGCATACTTATCTGCGTGTACTGCCATCGCTCGATGGCTCTGTCCAGCAAACCTTTAATCGCCCGTGGCCCCACGCCTTCTCCCAGCTCCAGCTCCTCGCCGTCGTGAGATGTCCACCTGCTGGCCGAAATAACTTGCCAGCCTATCCTCCTTGCCGTGGCTAGCATCGCCCCCGCTGGCCCGACCACGGCGATCCACGGGTGCAACTTGTTCCGCTGAGTCGCCTCTGCTCGGTCAAGTGCTCCCTGCAGTATGTGGGTGGGGATGCGCTTAGTCCAGACCGCCTTCGCCCATTCGACCAACGGCGCCGCGGTGACGGCGTAGGCTGGGTCCTGCTTGCCTCCCTCCAGCATGAAGGACAACGTGAGCGAGCGCCTCGCCGTGTCGGTGAACATCGCCGCTCCGACCGCCGCCCTGATCATGTGCAGCTGCGAGTCACTCCTGCCGAGCACGCTGGCACCGTACGTCATTGCAGGCTGCATGCCCATCCGGCCCACCTTGCCCGACTTTGCGCCCTGGCGCCTGAGGCACGTGACCCGTCCGAGGCGGCGCCTCTGCTTGTCGAAGTTTGCGTCCATGACCTTGGTGCGCCTCCTTGCCCCCACCATCGAGTCCACACCCAGGTTGCGGTGGTGCTTCCTGACCTGGAGCCGCTGCGCCGTGCGCGTGTGCACCTTGTCGGCGATCCACTTGCCCGCGTACGCCGTGGAGATCACGATAGTGGACTTCGAGCCGTTGATCTCGAAGCCCAGCTTGCGGAGGAGCTCGATGAGATACTGCAGGCCATCCGCCGCTACCTTGAGTAGGAACCGCTGTGACCCGATGCAGAGGATGGTGATGTCATCGACGAAGGCGAACAGCTGGATGCACAGATACCTGTCTCCGAACAGCCTCAGGCTGCGGTACATGAGGACCTTCAGCCATGAAGTCGCGAATCCGCATCCCGCCAAGATGCTGCAGCCCAACTCGACCTCGCCCGAGATCGCGTCATCGACCTTGCACCGCCGTGGGCCCGCATATATGCTGATGCTGGTGCGCAGTAGCACCAGGTTGGCGCCGCTGGCGCAGCCTTCGTCCCAGAGCGTCTGGTGGCCCACCCTCTCGTGGGCCTTGGTCATGTCGAGCTGGTTGGAGGCCGTGACCATGCCGACCTTGAGGGCCCACTCCTGATAGACGGCCTGGTCCCAGACGGCCCGCTCGGCCGTCCTGCCGCTGGCGTTGTGAAAACATGGCAGGTCGTGCTCGTCCTCCCACTGCTGCATTTGTGCCCGACGTACCTTTGTCCAAACACGAAGAAATCCTCCTAGTAGAGCGATGGGCCAGGAGAAGGAGGAGGACGACGAGGAGGATGAGGAGGAACAGGAAAGTTAACCGACGATGAGGATGAGGGAGGAAGAGGAAGGAGTGACAGGGAGAAGAGGAGGAGGAGGAGGAGGAGGAGGAGGAGGAGGAAGGCGAAGTGGAAGAGGAGGAGGAGGAGGAGGAAAAGGAGGAGGAGGAGGGAACACGACTCTCAAGAGACCTTCCGGACCTCCCGGAGGCTTCCCGAGAGGCCTCCCTTAGTCCTCCCGAAGGTATCCGAGGAGGCCTCCCCTGGTCCTCCTGGAGGTCTCCGAGGAGGCCTCCCCTGGTCGTCGTGGAGGTTTCCGGGGAGGCTTTCCCTGGTCCTCCCGGAGGTCCCCCACGAGACCAGAAGGTATCTCCTGTTCCTCCAGGAGGCGGCCTCCGAGACGCCTCAGAGACCTCCCAGAGGACCAGGGGAGCCCTCCTCAGAAACCCCCCACATGACCAGGGGAGGCTTCCACGAGGTTTCCCGTGCTCCTCCGAGCGGTCTCGGGAGGTCTGGTGGAGGACCAGGGGTGGGTTCCAGGAAGCTTTCTCGCCCTGGGCGGAAGTCTTACTCGGGAGGCCTCCCAGAGAACAAGGGGAGCTCTACGGAAGGCCTCATCTCCCTGGGAGGAGGCCTCCTGAGAGATCTGACGGAGGAACAGGTAGCTCGCTACCTTTACCCAGGTCCGCGAGCATATGAAGCCCGCTGGTCTGCGGACTTACACGCAGACGGACGCGATCGCGCACCAGCGTGGGATCCAGTGTTTTAAGTACCCGACGCTGTCGCACCAGATGTGGACCATCAAGGAGTCCTTCGACATGGCCATGCAGCACGAAATGGAAACGAAGAAGCAGTACACGTGGCTCGTTCGGGCACGTCCAGACGCCTCCTTGTTAGGTTATTTGCCAGTAGACGCTTTTAAACAGCACGCAGCGCCTGGCGAGAAGGTCGCGTGGCGCTGGAAGGTCGCGTGGCGCTGGAAGTCGCGGATCGGATCACATTGTCGTGATGACCCGCGCCGCCGCAACCTCTCTGTGGCGAGCTCACGACAACTCGTCCTCCCCGCGAGCACTGGGCAGTGCGGATACGGGGCGGCAGTCGCGGGAGGCAAGCCGACCAAGACGCTGGGGAAATTCCGCGGCATTTCCTTCCACGAGAAGTATCCCGATGAGTTCGAATTCCACAGCGTGGCTCCTGTGCGTTACATGTGGTTGGCGTGGGCCTCAGACAGTGTGACCATGTTGTTCGATGGCAGAGTGAGTGCTGACCCCGTCCGGTCGGAGAGCTATCCGAAACAGTACAGCAGCTTCGTACCGCCAGGCCGCGCGCCGTCGTCGTGTGTACTACACGGTGTGGGCGTGGGGCTCAGACAATGTGACCATCTCTTGTTCGATGGCAGAGTGAGTGCTGGCCCTGTCCGCTCGGAGAGCTACCCGAAGCGGTACACTCCACTCCGATGGCAGATACCGACTTCGTTTAGCCGAGACCTAGTTCCACCGAGTCTAAGTTTACCGAGCTTGGGCCTGACTGTTACGTAAGTATGCTCCCAGGGCGTTGCTGCGTTGCTGAGATTATCTTGCTGCTGCCGTTGCTGCTGCTTCTGCCACTGGCCGCTACCAAAGTACCACGGCCGCATTTCGGGGGACGCGGGTTCCTGGCCCTACCCCGCTGCTGCCTTCGTCATCGGTGACGAGGATCGATGACCCTGGGTTTCGCGGTTTGGTAATGTTTGTGCGTATGTTTTGTTAACCTTCTGTTCGTGGGGCGCTCGGGGGCCCGGGAATCTGCGGGGACCTCGAGGACTTTGTTGGCCGATCGTCGGCGTCGTCGGCGCGAGAGGGAGGAGGAGGAGGAGGAGGAGGAGGAGGAGGAGGACGACGACGAGGACGAGGACGAGGACGAAGACGAGGACGAGGAGGAGGAGGAGGAGGAAGGAATCTCCCAATGTGGACGCACCTCAGGTGGATCCTGCATGTGCCGATCCTGGGTCACCTCCTGGAGCGCTTCCCGGACTGACCCCAGACTGACCCTGGATTGACCTTGGATTGATCCCACGTTGACCCAGGAGTGACCCCAGACTGACCTCCGACTGATCCCACACTGACCCCGGACTGACCCCAGACCGACACCGGATTGATCCCAGGGAAGGACCCCAACCAGACGCACCCCAGACTGACCCCGGACCGATCCCGCCCGGCATTGACCCCGGATTGACCCCAGACTCACCCTGGATTGACCCCAGATGGACCCTAGTCGGATCAAAGTCAGCCGAGCCGAGCCGAACGTTACAGGAGGTCAGCACGTGTTTGCGGGGCGCCCCAAGGCGGAAGAAAGCATGCACATGCCGAAGTATGCTACGGGAAATGAGGGCGTGAGCGGGCTGATTTAGATTTCAGACTTACGAGAGTCGGCGACCTAAATTCCCGATATGGTTCAGCCGTGACCGACAGTATAGGCCCATGCCAAGAAATACCCTGCTTGCCTCCAGGGTGCCCCGTTACGATGGTTTTGCTATGGAAAGCGTGACGTTCCCACACCAAAAATCAATGGACGTCCTGGGGTCTCAGAGTTGGGTTTCCTGTAGAAGGTTTCTTGAGGACTGGCCTTCACTGTAGTTTCACTGATTCTATTCTTAACGAGCGGAGAGTCGTCGGCGTCGGCGGCGGCGGCGTCGTCTCGGCGTTTTTCCCTGGAAGGGCATGGCTCTAGAGGGTTCTGCTTTTGTACGTAAGCTTGTCCCCTGGTGCCATGCTGGGCAAGGGCTGGCGAATTTCCGCTCGATCGAAAACAAGGTGAAGTCTCATCTTGCGTCGAAAAGATAAACTTCGCGCGTGCCCGCTCGAGGAAAGCGCGCCCACGATCTCGGATCTTCGATAAGTAGCGGGGTCCGCAGAACGCGGTTTCCCTTGAAATTATCCCGGCAAAGCAACCTAACAGCGATGTGTAGGAGCATATCTGCAAGCATTCCCCTTAAGATTCAGATGAGAATCCTGTTGTAGAATTCTGCTGTTCTCGCAGTCGTAGTCGCATTCGCGATGGCAGTCGCAGTGGCAACGGCAGTCGCAGTCACAGCCTCAGCCTCAGCCTGCCTCAGCCTCAGCCTCAGCCTGCCTCAGCCTCAGCCTGCCTCAGCCTCAGCCTCAGCCTGTTTCAGCCTCAGCCTCAGTCTGCCTTCAGCCTCGGCCTCAGCCTCAGCCTGCCTCAGCCTCAGTCTGCATCAGCCTCAGCATCAGCCTCAGCCTGCCTCAGCATCAGTTTGCCTCAGCCTCAGACTCAGCCTGCCTCTGCCTCAGCCTCAGCCTGCTTCAGCCTCAGCCTCAGTCTGCCGTCGGCCTCGCCCTCAGCCTCAGCCTGCCTTCAGCCTCAGCCTGCATCAGCCTCAGCCTCAGCCTCAGCCAGCCTCAGCATCAGCCTGCCTCAGCATCAGCCTCAGCCTCAGCCTGTCTCAGCCTCAGCCTCAGCCTGCTTCAGCCTCAGCCTCAGTCTGCCTGCAGCCTCGGCCTCAGCCTCAGCCTGCCGCAGCCTGAGCCTGCATCAGCCTCAGCCTCAGCCTCAGCCTGCCTCAGCCTCAGCCTGCCGCAGCCTCAGCCTCAGCCTGCCTCAGCCTCAGCCTCAGCCTTCTTCAGCCTCAGCCTCAGTCTGCCTTCAGCCTCGGCCTCAGCCTCAGCCTGCCTCAGCCTCAGCCTGCATCAGCCTCAGCCTCAGCCTCAGCCTGCCTCAGCATCAGCCTGCCTCAGCCTCAGCCTCAGCCTGCCTCAGCCTCAGCCTCAGTCCTGCTTCAGCCTCAGCCTCAGTCTGCCTTCAGCCTCGGCCTCAGCCTCAGCCTGCCTCAGCCTCAGCCTGCATCAGCCTCAGCCCCAGCCTCAGCCTGCCTCAGCATCAGCCTGCCTCAGCCTCAGCCTCAGCCTGCCTCAGCCTCAGCCTCAGCCTGCTTCAGCCTCAGCCTCAGTCTGCCTTCAGCCGCGGCCTCAGCCTCAGCCTGCCTCAGCCTCAGCCTGCATCAGCCTCAGCCTCAGCCTCAGCCTGCCTCAGCATCAGCCTGCCTCAGCCTCAGCCTCAGCCTGCCTCTGCCTCAGCCAGCCTGCCTCAGCCTGCAGCCTCAGCCTGCCTCAGCCTGCCTGCTCAGCTCAGCGCCTCTGCCTTAAGCCTGCTGCCTCAGCCTCAGCTCGGCCTGCAGCCAGCTCTGCCTCAGCCTCAGCCCCAGCCTCAGCCTGCTTCAGCCTCAGGCCTCAGCCTCAGCCTCAGCTGCTTCAGCCTCAGCCTCAGTCTGCCTTCAGCCTCGGCCTCAGCCTCAGCCTGCCTCAGCCTCAGCCTGCCTCAGCCTCAGCCTCAGCCTGCCTCAGCATTCAAAATGTGGCCCGGGAATGGAGTTCTGGGAACTCGAAGAACACGAAGTGGCCTACAGTTGGCTCCGGGCATTCAAAATGTGGCCCGGGAATGGAGTTCTGGGAACTCGAAGAGCACGAAGTGGCCTACAGTTGGCTCCGGGCATTCAAAATGTGGCCCGGGAATAGAGTTATGGGAACTCGAAGACCACGAAGTGGCCTACAGTTGGCTCCGGGCATTCAGAATGTGGCCTGGAAATGGAGTTCTGGGAACTCGAAGACCACGAAGTGTGTAACTGTTGGCTAAGAAAAGTCCCCGGCACCCTCCCCCGGATCGCGCCCAGACCCCCTTGGGGCGTCATGATGCTCTCTTTTGACCCTATTAGAAACCTATCAGTCTTCGCTGTTAGGTAAAAAGAGTGCATGCGAACTTTCCCACTGGGGCCTTCGTTGGAGCTCCCTATGGGTCCACGAACCGTGGGAGGGGTGTGCCGAAATCGGGGGTGGAACTGCATGCGAACTTTCCCACTGGGGCTCCCAATAAGACCACGAAACGTGTGAGTGGTGCGCCGAAATGGGGGTGGAATTGCATACGAACTTTCCCACTGGGCCTTCGGTGGGTCTCCCTATGGGGCCACGAACCGTGTGAGGGGTGCGCTGACATGCAGGTGGAACTACATGCACCCATACGACGGCGATGAAGACATGCGGAGGGCAGAGGCAAGGGATGGGAGGAGGGAGGAGGAGGGAGGAGCGGGAGGAGGAGAGAGAGAGAGAACGCGGGGCGATGTCCCTTCAAAACGAGGACCCAGCACCACAGGATGGTTGGGAACAAAACGAGAAACAACGTTTAGGTCCAGCCCTGCCTCCAGGGCCCTCCTCCGGCCCTCGCCTCCGCGCCCCGCCCCCGTGTCCCCCGTGCCCGAGTTCGCATCGGTGGCACCCCGCCGTCGCTCGCACGCTGCTGGCCTCCTCGCGGCCGCTGGCCCAACAAAAAAATCTGCCTGGCGAAGCACCCAACCATATGCAGGTGTGAGCACCGTCGTTGTGTGCACCGCATTCGGAGGAGCTCCCTAGAAGGCCACGAAACGTGCGAGGAGCGTGCCAAAGTGTATCCGGTGGGCGCATGCGAAGCCAGCCACTGCGGCCGTCGGTGAAAATCCCCCTGGGGCCACGAAACCAGTAAGCGGTATGCCGAAACAGGTGCGGTGGGCGCATGCTAACGCAGCCGCTGGGGCCGTCGGTTGAGCTCCCTATGGGGCCGCGAAACGTGTCATGGGTGTGCCGAAATGGGTGCGGTGGGCGCATGCGAACGCAGCCACTGGCGCCTTCGGTGGAGCTCCCTATGGGGCCACGAAACGCGTGAGGGGTGTGCCCGAATGTGCGTGGGTGACGCATGCGGCCAGTGCCTTCGGTGGAGCTCCTATGGGGCCACGAAATGTGTGAGGGGTGTGCCGAAATGGGTGCGGGTGATGCAAGCGGGCGGTGGCACTGGCGCCTTCGGTGGAGCGCCCTATAGGGCCACGAGACGCGTGAGGGGTGTGCCAGAATGGGTGCGGGGGACGCATGCGGACGGTGGCACTGGGGCCTTCGGTGGAGCTCGCTATGGGGCCACGAAACGTGTGAGGGGTGAGCCGAAATGGGTGTGGGTGACGCATGCGGGCGGTGGCACTGGGGCCTTCGGTAGAGCTCCCTATGCAGCCACGAAACGCGTGAGGGGTGTGCCGAAATGGGTGTCGGGGACGCATGCGGGCGGTGGCACTGTGGCCTTCGGCTTTATGGGGCCACGAAGCGTGCGAGGGGTGCGCCAAAATGTGGAGTGGAACCGCATGCGAACGCATCCACTGGGGCCTTCGGTAGAGCTCCATGTGGCGCTACAAAACGTGTGAGGGGTGTGCCGAAATCGGTGGTGGAACTGCATGCGAACGCAGCCATTGGGGCCTTCGGTGGAGCTCCATATGAGGCCACGAAACGTGTGCGAACGCAGCCACTGGGGCCTTCGGTGGAGCTCCCTATGGGGCCACGAAACGTGTGAGGGGTGTGCCGACATGGGGGGTGGAACCGCATGCGAACGCACCCACTGGGGCCTTCGGTGGAGTTCCCTACGGGGCCACAAAGCGCTGTACTGGGTGGGTGAAACGCAGGGAGGAAGGAGGAGAGAGAGGAGGGGGAGGAGGGGGAGGGAGTGGGCAGCGGGAGGAAGGAGACGCGGGGCGCTGTCTTTGCAAAACGAGGACCCAACACCACAGGATGGTTGGGAAATATGCCACCGTCGGGTGCCATGGGGGGAGG